GCATGCCACTGGCCCAATATTAGTACCCTGGACCATTTGGTTATTCAGAAGAAGGTGTTAGAAGAAGATTTTAAAGACATCTGACTCCAGTGACCTTGAAAGTGGGTCAAGGTCATTCATTTGAACAAACTTGGTAGCCCTTCATTCTAGCATGCTACAGGCCCATATCAGGACTCTGGGCCCTTTGGTTATTGAGAAGAAGGTGTTTGAAGATTTTAACATATTTGACCCCTGTGACCTTGAAAGTGGGTCAAGGTCATTTATTTGAACAAACTTGTTAGCCCTTGATCCCAGCATGCCACTGGCCCAATATCAGTACCCTGGACCATTTGGTTATTCAGAAGAAGTTGTTAGAAGAAGATTTTAAAGACATCTGACACCAGTGACCTTGAAAGTGGGTCAAGGTCATTTATTTGAACAAACTTGGTAGCCCTTGATCCCAGCATGCTACTGGCCAAATATCATCTTCCTAGGCCTTTTGGTTACCGAAAAGAAGTTGTTTAAAGCAAAAAGTTGACGCCGGACAGAAGGACGGACGACGGACTCCGCACCCTAACATAAGCTCACTTGCCCTTCGGGCAGGTGAGCTAAAAAGTCATTCGCTACATTATCATTTGTGTATGAGCTAGTATAGAGTGTCTGATAGAATTTTTTCTGTTCTCCTAAAATGTCTTGTTAATCTGTTATTTCTTCGCCAGTTTCTGTTATAAGCTTTGGAATTAACTTTTCTTGATAATGTCTTTTTTCTAAATTGCAAAAAAACCTGGAACTCCGTTCACCTTCAACTTTCCATCTTGCGTTTGCTCTCAAAACAATTCCTTTAATTTTACTGTCTCTAATCAACTTTAACTCATTTTCTACTTCTTCAATAGCCCCCAACTGCCTATCTTCTTCCTGCTGTAATTTTTCCAGTTTTAATTCTAGATCATTTTCTAATTTATCTCTTTCCCCTTTTTTATATGATGAGTAAGCAATAGTTTTCCCTCTAATCATTGATTTTAAAGTCTCCCATAGCAATTTATCACTTATTGAAAAGGTAATAAGGTTTATATCTTCCTCTTCAGGATTAGTAGCATATATATCTATAAAATCTCCAATACATTTTTTGACAAGACCAACATAATCCAGATCATTTAACAAACTATTATTAAACTTCCATGTTCCCTTTCCCTTTTGCTGGTCAATACATTTTATAGATAAAGAAATCGGGGAGTAATCCGACCTATAACTTGCACCAATACCGGTTTTACATACAAAAGGATTTAAATCTGAAGATATTAAAAAATAATCAAGTCTAGCTTGTTTTCTCTGTGGACCATGCCATGTAAAAAAGTTCTTATCCTGATCTTGCTCTCTCCATATATCTACAAAATCAAATTTTTCCATAATTGATATAATTTTCTTTTGATTTGCTTCATTATTCCTGTTAATGTAATTTTGTGTGTCTTCTACATAACCCTGTGGTGCATTCCAGTCACCCCCTAAAATTAAAGATGTATTGTCAAGTAACTGTAGTTGATTCGATAAAAAATTATAAAAATTAATATCTGTTTCATTTGGACCATAAACTGCTTCAAGTGTCAAATTTCTATTGCATGAAGTGATATTGATATCTAAGATAATAATATTGCCTGTTTTGTCCCTAAATGTTGATAACAATTTATAACTGAAAGTATTATTAAAAAGAATAGCCACCCCCGACTGTTTGATGCATAAGAATTAAACCAAGCTTTGTATCCCCATTCAAATTTCCAATGGCCTTCTACTTCCTTCTTTGAATGTGTATCAAAAAAACAATATCATATTTACTCTTATATTTTTCAAAAATGTCCCTTCTCTTTATAGGATCAGAAGATAACCCCCTACAATTTACACTTCATATTTTCAATCAATCACCAGTAACTTATAGCCACTAAAGTATATAAAAGTAGTTTTTACATAAAATAAATACCGTACAGTGTAAATATTAGTTCTTAACCTGGGATGTAGAACATACATACAGCAACCTTTCACTTATATGACAAAATAATGAATGCAACCATTTTCAAATTTCAAATGTACCCCTTCCCCAACCCCAAAAAAGTGATATAAATTTCAGAAAGAAAAAGAGACAGAGAAAGCATATTCCTGTCTCATTTGCACTAACCATTTTCCAGTTAAAAAAGGCTACAAAATACTTTTTTTTTAAATGATACTTTACCGAAACATGTTAAATGAGTATACCAATGGAAAAATCGAAATATTTCGTGGATATAACACTTACATTTAGCTATGGCGTGCAAAAACTCCTATGACGTACCTATGGCGCTAAATCTCCTACGGCGCAAATTAGTGAAACCCGGCTACCCCCCTACTCCGGTGAAAAAAAAGACAACAAACTTATGAAACTAGCTATCTGATTCCACCATATTCAGAAAGTCAAGGTAGCGAGGTCTTACTAACATACTCTAAGCACGAAGACGTATCGACCACTTCCACTAATTGCAATACAATTTGGCGTGCACTCATTCACATTTTGTCACCGGCAGCCAGAAGTGAGGGAATTGAGTACTACCGATACGCAGACAGTCTGGTAGCAACAATCAAGAAAGTTATACTTCAAACACCATGCTTGAAAAGCTTCATTGCTGTTGAATCAGCTACACATCAATAGCTTTAATCAGAAACAACAACAACAAAATTAACTTAAAAAGCGGCCTTAAAAAGTACATATCAAAAATGGGAAAAAACGCTGATGCTGTTTTGATTACGAAGTGTAACTTGGTGTATCGATGATATTTGCTAACTCTACAATGCATTGCCATATTGTATTCGGAATTTCATTAGGCCTTCCACAGACAATAAAGTCATAGAGTGAACAATTTGAACAGGAAAACCTACTTTAATCGACCGTCACAAGAGCCCCTGCCTCCATGCCGTATACCGGAAGTTGACATGTCACAGTGAGGTCGACCTAAAATACTTTGAGCATGAAAGCGGATCGACCACTAGCAACAACCCTCAATATGAAAACCAAGATGCATAAGTAGCCGATTCAGTTAGGCCTACCAGGTTTTAATATTCTGAATAAAACTAAATATAAGGCATATGATGTTTAAAATAAAACAAAACATGGACAATTAACTTAATAATTTCTTCGTGCACTTATTCACATTTATAACCGGCAACCGGAAGTGAAGAGATTGGGTGGCACTAATGTACGAAATAATGTACGAAGACGGTCTGATTGCACCATGTAACGTCATTTCCCGCGCTATTGAGTATTTTTCTCCTATAATATTAAACACAAGAAAAAATATATTTAAACTCTTGCAAATTCCACACATTTTCTTATCCAGATGAAATGAAATAATACTAATAATAATAACAGTAAAAAACAATGTTCCTTTAATAGCGTATTTTTATACCATTTCTTTCTTCAAAATTGTCACAAATATTTAACGCCTATTTTTTTCCACCAAGTCCACAAGCGGATAGTCCTTCATGGAAACAAGTTTGTATTTGCTTTTCTCCTGGGGAGACATCCTCCAACGTTTTTCTAGTAAATTGGCACGTCGTCGACTAACGCTATTGGGTAGATCTGGCACTACACTGTATCCGGAGCCCCTGGTTAGTTTGAAAGCGGCGTTCATTATGTCGTCACGGTCAAGAAGACTGCTCAGGCGAATGATGATATTCCGATTACATTCGGAACCTCCAGGAAGACGATGAACCGCTGTGAGGAGAACATTCTTTGAGAATGAATCTTTCATTTTCAGGTTTTCTGTTAAGAACTTTCTCACTGCTTTCTCAGTATTTCTTGGGGTTTCCCGTAGGTCTCCCTTCACCCCTCTTATTACCAAGTTCCACTTGCGTCCCCACATATCCAGTTTAATTCTTTTATTATCAACCGTTGTGATCTTATCCTCTATATTAGAAATGGTTTTCTCGTGTATTGTCCTTAGACTGTCATTTGTATGGTCAGCGAATTGCTCCAAGTTGGAGACTAGTTGTCTTGAGACTACCAATTTTTTCATGTAAGCCTGTTATCTGTAGGTGAAGTTTCGTGAAACACTTTCCAATGTCCTCAAATGCAAATAACTCATATAGATAATGTTTGTACAATGTACGGACTTTCAAAAGGTAAATCTTGCAGGCAAATGTATTTGTCGGAACCCAGACACTATTTAAAGAAAACAGGTAGCCCTATCAAAACAAATGCTCATCGGGGTAATACAGTTTGGTTTTGGCTTTATTTTGTTAGACATCCTATTAACAGCTAATGTCATTTAAGGACGTGCTTCCATGTGTGTTGTGTAAGAGTGCATGTGTGTATGTGTGCCGGATGCTGGCTCAGAAATACATTCTTTCATTATGTTTATTAAATCGACAACGGAGTTGGGCATTAGGTATAAAATAGCACTAATTAGTATGTAGGGAAAAGGTTGACGGGATGGTATACATTATACCAAGAGCACACCTATTTTGGAATTGATACCTCAGTTATTTGTCAAGGAGATGTATTAGTGTTTAAACTCTATAGTACATCCTATTGTATTTTACCCCCTCCAACACATACACGTATATGCACGCATACATTACACACATAAAGGCATGGCCTTATCTTGCCTTAGCTGATAATAGGACGCTAAATAAATCAACCCAAACCTTTTCTTTATCGAACCAGGTTAAATAGATACTGACACAACTGTATTCAAGCCAACTAGCAAATCTGTCTTCATGAAAAAAGCCACATGTACCCGTTACCATCCTCTTATGATTACAGTTAGTCATAAAGGTAAGGTCATTGTGAAAACGAAAGTAGATTTATAGCTCCCGATTCCTGGTAAAAAGACAATCTCGCTCGGTTATCTCGTTCACCAGGCGCCCTCCCTTTCGCAGTTCCGGTCAAACCGGTTTTTCTGTTTTTAAATGAAACATTTTTCTGGTATAAATCCAGGCGGACCTGCAACTGTTAATTCAGAACTAGCAACGCTTTGTCAATATTTGCCTGAAAGCAGCATCAGATTACTGGGTCCGTCCTTATTTTGTGAACGAACAACTTTGGTCTAACTGGTTCAACCGTTTTGATCGCGATAAACGAATGCGGCCCGGCTATGAGGAAGGATTTGATTCCTGAGCGGAGGTGAGCTCTAACCATGCACACTGGTTTTATACTCTAGTTAATATGGTAACCAAAGATATATATCTTTTTACCTACCCTTTAATGTAGGGTGTATTGTTAGATGTTTTATCGTTTTATTTCTAAAAAGCCCTTTCCGATATGCATGCTTTATATAGCACAGACACTATAGCCATTGGTATACAATTCTGTCGAAATTTATCTTGTATGTGTTTTTAATCAGTATACAACACACAAAAACATAATTGAATAAAAACACGCAATTATGTCATTGTGCAATAACATACTGGGATTTGCATAAATTATCACAAGCCTTTTTGTATACTCTTTACACTATAAAGTCTGGACGTTTGTGTACACTTATTTACTCCGTAGATATAGCCTGGACGTTTGTGAGGGCTTTTGTAGGCGAGTACGGCTTACACTTATAACTATCAATCGGTTTTATGGAGATACTTGGAAGTTAAACAATGACAACTACAGTGTACAAACCTATAATACGACAATGTGTTCCTAGCTAGTCTATGGAGGAGAGTACGGGAGAGAAAATTGTAAACAAAGAACGGTAGTGAGTTCATATTGTGTTTATATTAGATGAAATCCTTGGACATTATACTCGAAACTCCGTCAGACCCTTCTTTGAACATTTGCTAGACGATATGTGAATCTACGCGAATTTGTTTTGCACGGTTGTGACTTTTGAGGTGTTTTTACCTTGGCACTGAGCACTTTGTCCATCCATGCATGAAATCGTCGATTATACATGTCCTGTATACATGTATATACCCGTAGTCGATATGTCCCGAGTACATTGTATTATGCGGTTACGTCGATTGCTCGCTGTCACTCGGTATTACTAGTACTGTCATATAATGGTGACAAGGAGCAAGAAATAGGATAAAGACAACAAACCAAGCAGCGCCCGATGAGAACAATGGACGATGTTTGGTCAAAAATGAGGCTGAAGGTTATCGGAGTCGGTTTTTTCCCCGAAAGTTTCTGCGTTTTATTGAAAATCATTTTACCTCACTTGTGATAGATATTTTACTCAGAAACAGAATGAAGAAAATGGCTACAGAAGTCTTTATAATTTTAGATGGGTTAGCTCCAGAATTTTTAAATGATTTGATTGTTAAGAATAATCTTGAATATAATATCCAGCAAGGAACACCATTCAGGTACCTAGAGTTAACACAACAAGGTATGGAAAAAAGTCTTTTCGCTTTGAGGCTGCCCAAGTGTGGAACAGTTTGCCGAATGAACTGAGGAATGTAGAAAATGTCCAGAGCTTTCGCAGACTGCTGCTCACTTGGGTCTGCCAGTTGGGTTCCTGTGCCATATGTAACTAGTCTTGTTTGTTTTCCAACCTTTTTATCATTCTATACTTGGTTTTTACCATGTCTTGTGATACCATGTCTTGTTATACCATGTCTTGTGCTACCATGCTTCTATGCTTTTAATTCCTTTCATTTTTTTTATTAGTGCTCTGATTTACGCATTGTGTGACTTACTCAATGCTTGTCAAGTCATCTTTTAATTTATGCTATATTAGCATATATTCGGTCAATTCTTAACTCATGCCATATTGGCATTTATGTAAATACTGAACCATGGTTTCTTAGTTTGTGAGCATGTGGCATGTATCTTTTGTGCAGCATCAATTTTAATATAGATTCTTATTTATACTTTGTTCTGTACGTGTTCTGTAAGTTTTTAATTACTGCATGCTGTGATTTTTTCTCTCTCTTGTCTGTGTGTGTATAAACCTTGGTATATGCCTGTTTGTTTTCTGCATGTTGTCTAATATATCCTATTTTTATACCTTTGTTTGTCGTAATAATAGCGCTACAGAGCTAATGTTCCCATTACATACGACTCTTAATAAAAATTCTTGTATCTTGTAAAGTCAACATCTTAAAACAGTCAATGAATGACAAAAAAGATATTTACAAAAAAAGCAATTGATTCGTATTTATATTCATTAATTAACGTCACAATTAACACAAATAAAAACAGAAAGAACTTCTAGTGTAAATCTTGAATATGAAGATTGATGCTTAATTTGTACAACTGTCATAAGTTTAATCGAAGTAATTATGACCGAACGTAATAAGCTGCTAAATGAGAAATATGTTTATCGCAGCATTGCGTCAAATATCATGGATATGTATCAAATTATATGTATAAAATATGTAAATAATATGTGTGCCGTTACAGTCAGTACCGTCATTGCTGTGACTGAAAAAGTATTAAGGGTGGCAGAGTTATTTCCCTTTGTCCATTGTAAACAGCATCTGTATCGGTGTGTTAATAAGAACTCTTTTAGGTAAAAATGCGAAAATGTAGATTTCACGATCAAGACACACAGAATGCGGTCGGCCATTGTAAAAGCTCTTCTTCTTTTCTGGAAGTTCGTGATACCAAAATGTAAGTTTTGTAATGATTAACATGTTATTTTACTGTGTAATTGAGACTGTTATGCTATTGTCATAGAGATGTAAAGATGTTAACCCTGGCATTGTCGCGATAAACATTGCCATATGTGGTTAATTCCGTCAGTTTAGTCAGTCATGTCGACCAATTACATTGTCAATGATAATTCATACAATTCTTGGGTCGAATTGACCTTTGGCGAATTATTAGTGACATCATTAGGGAGAGTTAATACTGTAATAATTACTGTTAAATATACTAATAGAAATCCATTTCTATGTGTTGAAGTCCTTTACTTCAATACAACAATAAATTGCCACGCTATAAAAATGCGGCAGACTTCGTTTTTTTGTGTGTGTATCATGGCCGAAACGTGCCGGCACAATATGTAATAGTTATATGTATAAAATAATAAACAAAAGATTTGTGAAACTTTAGAAACTTTGAAATAAGTGATATCTAAAAGTAAGACTTACGCCGTTTGGACCGATTTTTCACTTTGGGATAAAGTTTTTCGAGTTTTCATACTCGGAATTATCAGAATTTTTATAACTAAGATTCAAAAAGAGTTTTGGCCAGGACCGGTGAAATACTTCGAATTCAACGGAGTCTTCGAGTTATACGAGTTCCAGATAACGAGGTTCAAATGTAGTTGGAAATAACAGTGAGATCAACGGAAAGCCAGTTAGAATTGAAATATAAATTGACATGATAGAGGCTAAATGACCCAGACGTGATCCGATGAAAGAAACAATATCAAGGCAACAGAAGGAAATTCACGACCTTAGCCGACAGTTGGATCAGGGCAGCAGTTTTTAACTCGATAAAACTAAACGAAACCCGCTTGGGAGCATGCGAATAAATACGTAAAATCATTCCCCAGTCGATTGGAGGGGTTTTAACATCTTTTGTAGAATTGGTCGTACAGGGTTTAATGCCCTATCAAAAGCTAAGGTCATTAAAGGACGTGAGCCAATGAGACAGGGTAGGTTGGTGTAAGTACACATACACAACACACATCGAGGCCGGTCCAGATATGACCTTGGCTGTTGATAGGACGTTTAACAAAATAAAACCAAACACAATCATAGTAATTAGTGTTAGAGTAATCCCGTAAAAATCTACAAACTGAAAACGTCGTGAAATCGATAAAAATGAATAGCTTCGATAATATGAAGATTTCAACAAGACCTTAGATTACTGTAAGCATTATACTTGCAGTCGAATGTATATTACCCGAATAACATACGGTTAAACTCGCTTTTTCAAGAAGATTTCATAAGAGGAGTTTCTGCTACCAGAATCATGATTTCTCACAAGATAACATTCATATCTATAACACAGAATCATGAATCAATAAGGTAAAAATTTCGCACCCGAGCAAATCATTGGAATGTATATAGTACACACTTACAACTGCATTTATGACCCCGTGATCTTAAGCGTACGTATTTTCATGTTGCAGAAATATTGCCCTCCGCGCCAAGATGGAAGACACTATTCTGCAAGAAGGAACGAAACTGATTGATCAGCTGACGGAAACAGTTGGACCAAGTGCGCGCGAGATGGAAGAAGACGCTCTTCTGCAAGAGCGAACGAAACTGATAGCTCAGCTAAAGGAAACAGTTGGAACCAGTGGAACTGGGAACGGAAGTCCACCCCTTAATATTGTCTTCATCGGGATTCCTGGATGTGGAAAATCCTCCTTCATAAATTCTTTCGCAGCCTCCGTTGCAGATAAATGCTGGCAAGAATACGCCTACAGTGGAAGGAAATCTGGAGCGACTCACCAAAATACTGTCAGATTTCAAAGGTCTAAGTATATTTTTCTTCTATAAATAACAAGAACTAAAGGGGGGGGGGGGGCAAATCTTCATTCAGACAAGTTGAGTCCTCCTGTTCAAATGTTGATCTACACAAACTAAGGTTAAAATGTCTTATATCTGATGCGGAAGGAGAAGGGTTTCAAATATCGAGCTTCACAGTTAGAAAGAGAAAGAAACATAGAAATCCCAAATATCGCAATGGGTGCAGCAGATATATTTTGGTTGCTTTTGTGTCCTAAGGTACAGTGCACAAAAGCGAATACCATATTCTGCAGGAGGTTCCGACACCAGTCGCCACTTACGATCATGCAGTGGTAAACGTGTATTCTTTCCTCTATTCCAGACTTGCAGGAGTGTTGTAACGGACGGAAGATTCCAAAACCATAAAACGTCCCGGGACGTTTGGTTTTAGTTTGGTTTAATTTTGGTTAACGTTCTATTAACAGCTAAGGTCATTTAAGGACGTGCCTCCATGTGTGCAGCGTATGTGTGCTTGCGTGTGTATATGCAGGAGACAGGATATGTTGGGTTGTTACCTCCTTGTGATCGCGCAGATATGACGTCGACTTGATAGTGCTATCTAACTGAAATACCATGCCGAAGGCACCGAACACAGCATTCCGCCCGGTCACATTATACTGACAACGGGTGAACCAGTGTGTTACCGATTCTCCCTAATGCTGAACGTTAAACAGGGATAACAACTTACATTTTGAAGGACTTTTGTATGTCTCGGTCTGGGTACATAACCTATTGCATTCCTCACCTGGGCGAACGCTCAACATTAAAGCCAGAAGTGAGGTGTTGCTATACAAGGCGCTCGAAAATAAAAGGTAAAAAGATAAAGTTCCCAAATGTTGCTATGGGTACAGCAGATTTTTTTGGTCGCTATATTTACGTTTATATTTTGAATATTTCTAATGTTCTAATCCAAAACGGAAATGATACTCAAGGAACGTAAAATAAAAATGTTTTGGTTTTTGTTAAGGTAATAGGATTGTGTCACCATTTCTCAGCAGAATTTCTTCAAATTTTGTAGTTATATTCCTTTAAAGTAAAGAAAAAATTTCTGCCACAAAAAAAATATAGGTTGTCAGATTTTTAAGGATTTTAAATGGAAATTTAGGTAAAAAGGAGTGAATTTTGAAAATCAAATGAAAGACACAATATTTTTACAAAAAAATGTCAATAAAAATGATACTGACATATATATTAGTATTGAATTAATGTATATCAATTTAATAGATGCTGAAATTGTGTAAAATTAATTCTCTATACACGATATAAAAATTGACATTTTATAATACACCATATACACATAGTAATTGCAGGTAAGAGTTATCGTTCTTGAAAAACTTCACAATAGTGAAATAGGTAGCCGGTTTCCTGAAGTAAAGAAAAAATTGACACATGTGATTCATTGATAAAAAATTTTCTGAATTAATGCCTGGATTGCTTTGAAATACTTTAATATTGAGAGAACACACTGTTCTGTCAATGATAAACATACAATATTCATCAGTTAAATATTAAACATTAGACTTTTCGGAAATTGTGATACTCTCTCCCTACATTGGATTTTCAACTAGGGATGTACTTCCTGTTTCCGTTTATCAATACACTCCAATGACCTTAATAGCGTTTGCAGTCCTGTTTACGACTAAGGTAATTAAAAGGGGGTTTAATAAAAAGTAGGTGTTGTTGTTGTTCAGGATCGAACGTTCTATCAACAGCTAAGGTAATTTAAGGACGTGCCTCCATGTGTGCCGGAATGTATCAAGTGTTACAGCTTAATTATCAGTGGCAAAAGGCACATTGCACGAATACATACAGGTGACAATAGGTCAGATTGTTATGCCAACTTGCATCATTCACAAAGTACAAAATGAGGAAGTAGTTAATTATTCTCACTTATTCTTGTATTGATGTGTAATTGTTAAAAGTATCTTGAGTGAAATTATTTGTTTTCAGTGATATTGGAACGAAGGAAATGCCATTTTGCTTCCCACCTTTGACATCAATTTATATTGGTTTCTTCATGCAGTACAAAATGCTGATCAGTGAGTGGCTAATATGGTAAACAATCCATGCACACTTTCTGAAATAGCAATTTTTGGGTTGTGAACGTTGACAGACGAACCACGAACCACGGACGCCACCCCAGTAATGTTTTTTTCTTTCTTTTTTTGTCTGTAGTGTTGAAGCTTCCAACTATGGAACGTCTCCTAGTCTAAGCGACTATTCCCTGCCAACTCTGATTGACCTGACGGGGTTTGAAAGCCAAGACGAAGAAATCACAAAGGAGGTTCTCCGACTGATATTTTACGGTAAATTAAGGAACGCAAGTAACGTAAAGTCAGTTTACAGATTTGGAAAGACCTTCGGTGTCTGGGCACTGCGTTTGTGGTATGGCGTTTTATACCCAGAAAACCATTTCAAGGTTGATCGTGTTGTTATAGTGACCTCGGCGAACGAGGAGGTGCCGGATGGACTTGTCAATAGTGTTATGGAGGTAGTCCGGCCCACGGACGACGTCTACAATAGAGGTGAGTATATTAGCGCTTTAGTTTAACCCTTTCGCCGCTAAAGACCAACATGGACTCATCCATATCAATGCATGGTAGAGTTTACTGAAGTTGCAGGGGTAAAAGGGTTAAAGGATATTTTATCCCGATTCCAGTCATTTTATAAAAAAATAATAACAAATTTAACTTTTAAATTCACGCTATCTTTAAACACGAGAGTCATAAAAAAAATCTCCTAGCCATATCATTGGTTTCGTTTTCATTTTGTCACCTCACCGTGGTCCGTCCTTCAATTTTTCTTTTAAAATACTACTTGTGATGAACAGCTTAGTGCGTTTTTAATAAATCTGGCCTGGAGTATCCTTTGGCAAAACATATTTTTTACAAATGTAATCGAGTCAGGCCCGGACATACCAAAGTCCTTAGAATTGGTAGTTGTTATTCCCTGCTTAACGTTCAGCATTTAGGGGAATGGCAACAACTGGTTCACTTTGAATATCTGAATTCCTTCTTCGGTAAGAAGGCATTTCAACCAAGTTAGTCTAGATCGATCCTTTAGCAAAGAAGGCTTAATTGTATGTAAATGGATGCTGTGAAACAGGGGCGATTCCTTTACGGCCTATCAACACAGGTTGAGTCATTAGGGCTAACAAATTGTCAACAAAAATAATAGCAAAATATAAACATCAAAATAAACTTTGAGGTAAAAGACTAACGTTAATTGAATATTGAAAGTGGCTATGATGACTCATATTTTATTGAAAAGACAAACAGCTTTCAGTTGGCCTAAAAGTGTACGGACAGGTGTTTTTTTTTCAAAAAATATTTAAGACATGTAACGTTATTATAGAAATGTTCTCGAGTTGAAAGAAGGTCGCCAAAATCTTATATAAAATATTATACTGTAAATGGTTCCTGACACGCTATGCATTGAGGCTGGTCGTCATGCGTCGGTAAATAACTTGAGGTTATGTATGAATGACCCATCCGGAAACGGTTTAAGACCATCTGGTTTCGGCGCCTCTCTCTGTACACCCCTGAAGGTCGGGGATCGAGAAAAGTATACACCTGCTGTTTCCCATTGCAAGTTTCGTAAGAGGCGACAACTTTGTGGAACCCCGGTAGAGTTGGGAAATTGCGTTTGTGCCCTCTACTAGGGGACACAAAAGCGACCCATTGCAACATTTGGGAACTTTATCTTTCTTTCTAAATCTATTTACTTTTTATGTCCAAGCACATTGCTTGGCAACACCTCAAACAAGAGGCACAGTGGCATAAGCGGTCACCTACGTTATATTAAAGGTACTGGTAGCTCAATTTCATTGTTGAGATGTGATGTTGAAATCAACATGTAAACTAAGTGAAATACAATACTTGTCATGTCATCAAAGGATTGGAATTTTTAAAAACAATATTGGTAAAGTTTTCATTTAGGGGCGGCCCCGCCCTGGCCCCTGGGGTTTGGGTAGGAATCCTAATTTTACATTTTGATGCCATTTTACCTCCAAGAATAATTCTCACCAAGGAAGAATAATTTCCTACAGGAAATTGTCAAAATATACCCAAAAGTGCTAGTTCCCTATATAAACTATAATAAACTTTACCCCCTCCCCGAGGGAAAACGGATGTTCCGGGGTCCTAAAATTTACAATTTAAATAAAGCGCCTGACGATCTTTCCATCAATGCACAGAATATGACTGTAGTACCTCTGAGTCTGGAGAAGAAGATTTTTTAAAATGTTGGTTAATTCTTATTTGGGGCCCCGCCCTGGCCCCAGTGGTTGGGGTAGGAATCCCAATTTACAATTTTGTAGCATCATCTACCAAGGATGATTCTGGAAGCTTCATGCACTGGTTCTTGTGAAAATGTCGAAAATGTAAAAAGTCTACGCACGACGGACGGAAAGCGATCAGAATAGGTCACTTGAGCAAAGCTCAGGTGACCTAAAAATTGGCAGAAATTTACAGTGATTAAAACAAAACGGCATGAATTTAAAGTGATTTTTTTTACGAGTTATTGAAATTACATTCCTAACGGCCCATAAACACCAAAGGTTACAAAAGGTTAAAACGTGATAAAAATGCCATTAATTACGACACAATTATGTTGTAAATACGAGATAGGCGAAAAATTCGACAAAGAGAAGTTTTTGTTCATGTCTGTTTATACGTTCTACCCTAGTAACGCCATATTGCGCTTTGGAAGCCAGAAAGCTAATGTGAAAATGCATGAATTGATAAAATAGGACTTTTTAATTATAAACTTACTAAATCAATATGATTAAAATTCTGTTTAGAAATTCCTGTCTTTGGAGTGATGACAGGGATCGACGTTGTCGACGAATCTCGTACAGAAGTGTTTGAGGAGAGAACAATTAACTTCATGAACTCGTTGGCTCTGGTTGGCGCTGGCCATAGATTTCTGCAGTGTGTGAATTACTGCGATGAAATTGACCCAACCAAGAAGCGAATAAGCCAAACTTTACCGCATATTGACGTCCCTATCCTAAACTTCATGAACGTGGCAAGTATAATAAACTACAGTTTAGTTTGGTTTTATAGGTTGATTTATGGACATGCTTCCATGTACGTTTTGGATGCATGAATGTGTGCCGGAGTCAGGGTATATTTGATTCCTGAAAGATACTTTCAACATGCTTTTCTTCAATTTTTGGAGTGTTATATTTATTAATGAATGTTTTACGTACATGCCAGGAACAGTTTTTAATTGTCCACGCAAACGCAATGCATTCTTGGTAAAAGAAAATTTATTTGACTTCGGTTTAATTTAAGTCATTTAAGGACGTGTTTCAATGAATGTAATACATGCGTGTGTATTTAGGTGCATTTACCTACCTGTGATGGCGTGATCAGATGCTGACTTTCTGTATGTAGAGTCCTCACTGACAACAAGTCTTGTTTTTGCTTTAAAAAAGGTATGTGGAAGGCAGTATGGCGTCGTCAACTCGGAGGAAAGCTATCGTGATGTCTTGAAATCACGACTGAGACACCAGATACGGTGTTGGGTTGTGAATCTTTGCAAACGTGCCACGACATCATTCACTAATTCTACAAGAGGTCCAGTGGTTCCAGCCAACCCTCTAGGTGTTGACATGTCCACCATTCTACTCGGTGCTTTTGTATGCCTTTTGTTTTATGTATTATTTTCTATTGTTTTTCTGTAGTTGGTGAAATATTTTCCATCGAAAACGTTTGCAACTGTTACTGCGATATCAGAGGCAATATGTGGCAACTTAACTGCAAAGTGAGTCATCGGTTTTTAAAATTATCTTTGCAAACTTACAATATTAAAGCATTTATAGCAGTGATCTTGATTCACTAAGATTATTTTAACTGAATCATCTATTAAATGTATCAAACAGATTTAAGATTTTTGTTAAACTTACCATCGACTATGAAATTTCAAATGATTCCGACCATTAGTAGGCCTAATAGGTCGTACATTTGTAGTTATTGGTATTTCTGTTAGAATATGTAGTAATGTGTTTCACAGCTTAAGCACATAGCTCAGGCGCGGGTTTAGGATACAGGGGTTGCGGATGGGAGGGTAAACGTGGATGTTTTTGTATGGGATCTGGCAACGAAACCTTGCTTTATACAGCCTCGATTAGGAATCAAGAGGACATGGTTTTGTAAAAAAAATGTGAATGAGTCAATTAATAAACATATATGTATATATCACCTGATCACAAAATATTGAATTAGGTCGATAAGTGTGGGATTTCCTCAATATCAGATGTAACTTTGATAAATCCTAGACTAATATTGTGTATAACACTTGTTATTGTTTATCGCTGCTACAATTGTGTTATATGTGCTATTATTAAGTAATTTGCAGAATGATTTATCTGAAGGAGTTCCATTTCCTCTGCCAAGCTTTTCATAAGTCCACGTATTTGTTCGACATGCTAATCATCTTGTTTTAGCATGCTACCCAAACATATCAGAAATATCCTCCGCCATTGTAATATTGTAATTCTACTTGAACATGAAAGCTTGTTGAATTATTACAGGGAGCAAACATTTACTAAAAGATATATTCCATTTTAGAGAACACGCCAAACATCCGGAAGAATGTTTGGGGAGGACTTGGATAGGCTTACCTGTTGTCCAATCCATTTGTTTTCTAAACAGTACATGGTGTTGAAATGAAACATTCGGAAACCATCTAAAATCGTTTCTAACTGTTCGTTTGGTATTGGGCTCGGTTGACAAATAACTTTCTCTAACAGCACTAAGGAGAAAACGTTGAGTAATGATAGTCACTTTTTTCCTGACGAATAGTTATACCCGTACGAGTTAAGAACAAATCCATGAAACTTTCTTTCTCTGTTAATACTGGTTCGCATAGCAAGATCTGTTTAACCACCTAAATAAATCGATGAAAAGATTTATATATCAGCGTTTTATCGTTTTTATTGAAAAAGAACCAAACCCTATTCAAATTGTTCGCAATTAGCTGCATTAATTTATTTCAGTTCGTGACGAAGCATTACATTTACACTTAAAGTATAAAATTGACCCCTTTTTCCCGAAACAGGAGGCCCAGGGGCCTGTATCGCTCACCTGGATAATAAGCAAACATAGGGAAAAAATCTCCGCACTGACCCTCTGCTCTCACGGGGACACAATTACTTTTTTACAAAATTTATTCAAAATTCAACAACCTCATATAGCGCTACCTTTTCATTTCAACAAATTTTATTGACAAATGTAATAGTCAAATGGATTGAATAACAGGCAAGCCTATATACATTCTTTCCAGGAGTGCCTCTAGATTTGATCGAAGATTTATACAATGTAGTTACAATAATAATTAACTTATTTAAGAATACTTTGAAATAAAATATTATATATATATCTACATGTATAAAGAGTAATACTAATTAAAGGATGAGGGGAGATAACTCCAACATGATAAACACAATGGGGATGAACTCATAGGACATCACAAAATCAATACACGAACAACTCGCAATCATACATCCAACACTCATAGTTATTTTCTAATTAAATGAAGCATAGTCACAGTCAGTATATCATATGTACAGTAAGAGTAGACTTTGACCAAAAGTCCATGTGCATGTATGTACACAGGTCATTGCTTCTAATACTGTTTATATATAGTAAATGATCACAAATTTAAATAATGTGACAGAAAGGCAATATATTAATACGTATATATTAATATTAGATTCAATAGAGTATAAACAAAATATAACAAACTTGCTCAGCTGTAATCTCGTCTATCATTATGCATCTAAAAAGTTTATACTTTGTTATTCCAATTATAAATTAAGATTAAAATAAGACATATATATATATATATTATTTACATTACCTCAATGTAATGCATCATGGCTTTCTACGTTATATAAAAAAACGTCTAGTTGTTCCAATTAAAATCTGAATGTGACCTAGCATATGTCTGTTTATATAAAGATCACATGTAGGACAACCTTGAAAAATATATTTAAATCAATATGGTTATGATTTATAATATTATTTAATGAAGTAAGCAGAACATTTGTTGTTCAATATACAGTGGACAATTGGAAAATAATGAGAGGCTATTTCGTTACTCATTTAAATTACTACAGGAGTTTTTGAATTGGCAAAGAATAATATTTACTCTTCTTTCACCGTCGTTTTTAGAAATTGTAGTTACTTCACTGTTATTAACTTTATCGTTATTTTGTAATTTTGTTTACAGAGCAAGAGATGGATAGTTCAATATCAGTATCCATAGTGTTTACATTGCGGCACATAAAGGGGAAAACTGTCAAAATAGTTATTAGTTCTACACATAGGCGGGTAAAAGAGTATGGTTTTTCTTAGAGAGGAGGGATTGTTATTATGATTGTTAATAAAAGGATTTGTGACTTCTTGTAAGTATTGAGGTGAGAGTCCATGCATTATCTTAAACATCATCATTTGTTTATGTTTATACATTCTTGCAGACAGTGTTTCCCAACCAATTCCATTATAGATTTTATTGTGTGATGTCCCTGAAGAGGAACAGTTATAACCCTAGCTGCTTCTTATTGTACAGATTCAAGTAGGTCAATAGATTGTAAGGTACAAGTATCCCATATTATGTCTGCATACTCCGAAATTGTCTTATAAATGCAAATAATTTTTAATTAGTGTTTTACGACCTACCTTAGAATAGATATTACGAAGAATATTTAATCTGTTGTATGCTTTTTCATATACTTAGTATAATCTGTATGTGCTGTTTCCACGATGCGTCGTCTATAAAAGTTCGTCGTAAAGTTTTATGTGTTTTTGAATCAGTGATTTTATTGTTTTAGAAGGATATTGGGAGTTATACGTGGTTATGTTTTCTAGAAAATATAAATGACTTAGTTTTATTTGGGTTGAAATTTATATCCCATATATACTAATGTTTGCAGTGTCATGCGAGAGTTCCTGGGCTGCCTGAACTGTATTTGTGTCTATGATTACATACAGAGAAGTGTCATCTGCAAAAAGTTTAATATTTGTAGAAACATTGTCAGTAATATCATTGATATAGGAAGAAACAGAAGTAATCCAAGAATAGATCCCTGAGGTACCTGCATTTATAGTCCTAAACTGATAGTGATAACCTTCAGTGCCAACTCTTTGCATTATGTCTGTTAAATCTTTTCAAACCAGAGTAGCAAATTACCACCAACACATGTCCTCAGTTTATGAATTAGACCTTTATGCCAAACCCTATCAAATGCTTTGCTAATATCACAGAAAATATTTTTAAGTTCCTTACCCTGGTCTATATCACTTACTATTTCATTATATATAAACAAGAGTTGATTAACTGTTAAATCACCAGGTGTAAATCCAGATTTTTATTATAATAAAAAAACAAAAAAAAACCAACAATCCAGATTGGTGCTTATAATGATTATAGAAATCTCCAACAGATAGTTATAAAGATATTAAAACACGATTTTTACCAAAATGTTACTAAAGCATGAAATTACTGAAATAGGTCTGTAGCTACCTTTAATTTTATTGAACATTTTTATGAGAGAATCGTGAGAGTATATGTATTGTTGTACTTGTTTGTGTTTAAATTTGTATTTAAATTTGTATTTCTTTAATAAATGTTTACTGTAAAGGTGTGTGTTAACGTATCTTATGCTTCATAGTTATTTTTAAACTATTTAGATCCAGGGAGTCATTAGGGTACTTGGTTTAGTCATACCATAGAATTTGCTTGGGGCTTGTAAAATAGCAATTCAATTAAAATAGTCGTTCTCTCCTTGTGAAGAGCCAATAGTCTTGAGCCGGGGCGAAGACAGTTGCAATATTTCGTGAGATAACACAGCGCCAGTGAGTCAGTTTCACAAATAACACATTCTTGTCGCTTTTAATTTACACAATACATCGCATGCAATTATTATACGTATCATTGTATATAAATCTCATGAGATATTTATGTTAACAGTTAGATTTAAATACATATAAGCATGTTTAATAAGAGTATGCACGCACTGAGAGGGTGTGGGAGGGAGAATTTTTAAACCACTCAAAGTACGCTATAAGTAGGTTTAAACGTAAAAAGGCAACTTCTTTATAACGTTGATTGAGGTGTTGTTTGGAAGATGCTATTGATTAACAATAAATGTCTGTATTGGTATTCCAACGGAGTTAGGTAAATAAAGCGAGAATGAACCTTTTCTCCGCAGCTGGAATGACCTTTTTGTTAGATAGAAGTTCACCGACGCCTGCCGCTACAGTTAAGGATTTCTTTAGTATTGATTTAAAACATCAGGAAAACAATGTCTTCGCAAGTTTTTAACATGAATCATTCATAAGGACAACCAAACTATCTTTTCATGAGGAATATTGTGGCAATGGTTATAAAAATCTTACTCCACTAAATTGTCCCTTTAAGCAGTTGAAGGCTATGCAGTTTTTCAATGCCTATTTCAGCAATTTTTGTACAATCTGGTTTACAATAGTTCTTTGTGGACATGTTACTCCTTCTCTATATATGCAGACTTTGAACAAATACCGGTGAAGGAATTATGCAGACCTACCAATACACCAATTTGAACTTTGCATGAAAATAAGATTCCAAAATTATCATTCATAGAAGCAAAACTCTATTTAAGCAATGGTGACTTTGTCCTCTTAAAGATCGCATCATAAAAGTTAATACATATGGTTTATTTTTAGCTCACCTAGACAAAGGAAAAAATAAAATGCCGTGGCGCAGCGTCCGTTGTCCGGCGACAATATTATATTTTAATCAACTTTTTATCAATAACCGAAAAGCCTACAGTGATGATATTTAGCCAGTAACATGCTAGGATAAATGGCTACCAAGTTTGTTCCAATTAATTACCTTCACTCATATTCAAGATCACAGGGGTCAAATATGTTGAAATCTTTTAAACGACTTCTTCTGTATAACCAAACTGGCCAGGGTGATGCTATTTGGCCAGAAGCATGCTGGCTTTAAGGGAGTCCAAGTCAGTTCAAATGAATAACCTTCACCAACATTCAAGGTCACAGGGGTCAAATATGTTGAAATCTTTTAATGACTTCTTCGGAATAACCAAAAGTCCAGGGTGATGTTATTTGGTCAGTAACATGCTGGGATGACGGACTATCACCTTTGTTCAATGAATGACCTTCACTCATATTCAAGGTCACAGGGGTTAATTGTCTTAAAACAAACTTTAAACGACATCTCCTAAATAACCGAAGGTCTACGGTGATGACATTTAGCCAGTAGCATGTTTGAATGAAGGTCTTCCGAGTGTGTTCAAATAAATGACCATCACACACATTCAAGGTCAAAGAGGACAAATATGTTGGAATCTTTTTATCGACTTCTTCGAATTCTGAATAACCAAACTTTGACTGGTCATTTGTGTATGAATCTTCCCAATAAACACAGGGTACATGTTGGTGATATTTGGCAAGTTGCATTCTGGTATGAAGGGCTATACATATTGTTCACCTTATTGTCATTGTTTGACTTTCACAGGGGTAAAATGCATTTAATCTTTTAACAGGTTCTTTTGAATGACTTTCAGTCAAGACACTGATATTTTGCCTGCAGCTTTCGTTTAGTCAACTTTTAAGGTTACAAGTGTGATATTTATACCAGGTGAGCGATGCAGGCCCATTGGGCCTCTTGTTAGGTTTTCAACATAAGGCAATGGCGAGGTGAAGTAGAATGAAACAGAATAACAGCATCACCACACTAGAAGCATTCGAACGCGTTCGGTCCTTTGCAACTAATGTGGAGGTGGCGCTACAGAATCGGGGGTGATTCCTTCTCCTCTTCCATTAAGGGGACATTGACAAAATCAAGATAAGGCCTGCTGTATCCCATTGCACGTGTATCGTAAAAGGCGACTAATGTAGGGCACCCTGTGAATCGGGGATTTTCTTCTACGAAGGCAACAGTATAAACCCCATAATTAATCCGCTGTCCCCATTGCAACACTTGGGATCTTTGTTTTTGTTTCCCATCTCTACTGTCTTCTTTCTTTTCTCTCTACGTTCTGCTTCATGTGGTGTCTCCCTAGGCATCCGTCCTCCTATGACCCTGGCTGATGCGCGGACGTAAAATTCCAAACAAACAAACACTTTGTGCTGACTGTTACGTCCACGTAAAAGCAAAGGTCGTATGATGGCTTTTTTGTTGGTGACACGGTCATTTAAGGCATGCCTCAAAAGAGTATTGTATGCATGCGCAAAAGTATATATCAACAGAAGCCAATATGTTGGTTTATTTTCTTTAAAGTTGGCATCAGATCCGTGCTATTACAAGGACACCAACATACGCTGTCTCCGGCAGACATACACACTAGCACGCATACACAACACACACAGTTAAAAAGAGAGAAACATAGAGATCCCAAATATCGCAATGGGTGCAGCAGATTAATTTTGGTTGCTTTTGTGTCCTAAGGTACAGTTCACAAAAGCGAATACCCAATTATGCAGGGGGTTCCGACATCAATCGCCTCGTACGATCATGCAGTGGTGGACAATTGCATTCTTTCCCAGACTTGCAGGTGTTGTACGCAATTTATCTTGCGAAAACCAGAACGGACGGACGATTCCCAGACCATAACACGTCCCCGGACGTTTGGTTTTGGTTTGGTTTAATTTTTTAACGTTCTATTAACAGCTAAGGTCATTTTAGGACGTGCCTCCATGTGTGTAGCGTATGTGTGCTTGCGTGTGTGTATGCAGGAGATATGGTATGTTGGTGTTCTTGCCTCCTTGTGATTGCGCAGATCTGATGTCGACTTGATAGTGCTATCTCACTGTAATACCATGCCGAAAGCACCAAACACAGTATTCCGCCCGTTCACATTATACTGACAACGGGTGAACCAGTTGTTACCAATTGCCCTTAATGCTTAACGTTAAGCAGGGATAACAACTTACATTTTGAAGGACTTTTGTATGTCTCGGTCTGGGTTCAGAACCCATTGCCTTCCTCACCTGGGCGAATGCTCAACATTAAAGCAAGAAGTGAGGTAAATAGATGTAGAAAAAAAGATAAANNNNAAAAAAAAATATGCTTAGTAGGTGTTGTTGTTCAGGGTTAAATGTCCTATCAACAGCTACGGTAATTAAAGGAAGTGCCTCCATGTGTGCCGGAATTTATCAAAAGTGTTACAGCTTAATTATCAGTGGTAAGATGCACATTGTACGAATAAATACAGTAGACAATAGGTCAGATTGTTATTTATCCCACCCTTCACAAGTGTGTCTCCCGTTTTAGCCAGGAAAGATCAGCTTGTCACCCCCTAGGGGGAGATATCCTCGTGCCGATTAACACGTGTTCAATTGTGACGTCATTAAAATGCGTCATCGGTAATTGTGACGTCATCAAAAGAAGTAAATAACGATATGCATACCCCAAATGTGGTTTTGTTTACAAACATGGCAGACTACTGTCGGTGGAGATGTGACTGAAATAATAGGATGAGAGAACAAAAATCATCCCCACCTTGAAGGTGTAGCAGAGAAATCTCCAACCCTCGGGGTGATTGTTTTGGTTGTCTAAACCGAGGGTTAGACAACTAAAAAACATCACCCCTCGAGTTGCAGATTCTATTAGTCAACTTGCATCATTCACAAAGTACAAAATGAGGAAAGAGTCACTTATTCTTGTATTGATGTGTAATTGTTAAAAGTATCTTGACTGAAATTTTGTCTTCAATGATATTCGAATGAACGAAATGCCATTTTGCTTCCCATGCTTTGACATCAGTTTATATTGGTTTCTTCATGCAGTACAAAATGCTGATCAGTGAGTGCCATATATGGTAAACAATCCATGCACAATTTTTGAAATAGTATTTTTTGTTTTGTGAAAGTTGACAGACGAACGATGGACGCCACCCCAGTAATGTTTTTTTCTTTATTTTGTCTGTAGTGTTGTAGCTACCAACTATGGAACGTCGCCTAGTGTAAGGGACTATTCCCTGCCAACTCTGATTGACCTGACGGGGTTTGAAAACCAAGACGAAGAAATCACAAAGGAGGTTCTCCGACTGATATTTTACGGTAAATTAAGGAACGCAAGTAACTTAAACTCAGTTTACAGATTTGGAAAGACCTTCGGTGTCTGGGCACTGCGTTTGTGGTATGGCGTGTTATGCACAGAAAACCATTTCAAGGTTAATCGTGTGGTTATAGTGTCCTCGGCGAACGAGGAGGTGCCGGAAGGGCTTTTCAATGGTGTTATGGAGGTAGTCCGGCCCACGGACGACGTCTACAATAGAGGTGAGTAAATTAGCGCTTTAGTTTTATCCTTTCGCCGCTATAGACCAACATGGACTCATCCATATCATTGCATGGTAGAGTTGACTAATGTTACAGGGGTGAAAGTGTGAAAGGATATTTTATCCCGATTCCAGTCATTTTATATTTTTTTTTTAACAAAGTTTACTTTTAAATGCACGCTACCATTCTAATTCGTTTATTTGTCTTTCTATCTTGATACATGAGAGTTATAAAAAAATCTCCAGGCCATATCATCGGTTTCTTTTTCATTTTGTCACCTCAGCGTGGTCCTTTAATTTTTCTTTTGAAATACTACTGATGAACAGCTTAGTGCGTTTTTAATAAATCTGGCCTGGAGTATCCTTTGGCAGAAGATATTTTTTACACATGTTTGATTCTGGCGGTCGTCTAACGTTAATCGATTCAGGCCGGGACATACCAAAGTCCTTAAAATTGGTAGTTTGTATTCCCTACTTATTGTTCAGCATTTAGGGGAATGACAACAACTGGTTCACTTTGAATCTCTGAATTCCTTCTTCGGTAAGAAGGCATTTCAACCAAGTTAGTCTAGATCGATCCTTTAGCAAAGAAGGCTTAATTATATGTAAATGGATGCTGTGAAACAGCGGCGTTTCCTTTACGGCCTATCAACACAGGTTAAGTCATTAGGGCTAACAAATTGTCAACAAAAATAATAGCAAAATATAAACATCAAAATAAACTTTGAGGTAAAAGACTAACGTTAATTGAATAATGAAAGTGGCTATGATGGCTCATATTTTATTGAAAAGACCAACAGCTTTCAGTTGGCCTAACAGTGTACGGACAGGTGTTTTTTTACAAAAATTATTTAAGACATGTCACGTTATTACAGAAATGTTCTCGAGTTGATAGAAGGTCGCCAAAATCTTATATATAATATTATACTGTAAATGGTTCCTGACACGCTATGCATTGAGGCTGGTCTTCATGCGTCAGTAAATAACTTTGGGTTATGTATGAACGACCCATCCGGAGACGGTTAAAGACCATCAGGTTTCGGCGCCTCTCTCTGTACACCCCTGCAGGTCGGGGATCGAGAAAAGTATACATCTGCTGTTTCCCATTGCAAGTTTCGTAAGAGGCGACAACTTTGTGGAACCCCGGCAGAGTTGGGAAATTGCGTTTGTGCCCTCTACTAGGGGAAACAAAAGCGACCCATTGCAACATTTGGGAACTTTATCTTTCTTTCTAAATCTATTTATTTTTTATTTCCAAGCGTATTGCTTGGCAACACCTCAAACAAGAGGCACAGGGGCATTAGCGGTCACCTGCGTTATATTAAAGGTACTGGTAGCTCAATTTAATTGTTGAGATGTGATGTTGAAATCAACATGTAAACTAAGTAAAATACAATACTTGTCATGTCATCAAAGTATAGGAATTTTAAAAATATTGGTTAATTTTTCATTTAGGGCCCCGCCCTGGCCCCTGGGGTTTGGGTAGGAATCCTAATTTTACATTTTGATGCCATCTTCCTCCAAGGTTAATTCCCACCAAGTAAGAATAATTTCCTACTGAATAATGTCATAATATACCCAAAAGTGTTAATTCCCTATATAAACTATAGTAAACTTTACCCCCTCCCCGAGGGAAAACGGATGTCCCCGGGTCCTGAAATTTACAATTTAAATAAAGAGCCTGACGATCTTTCCATCCATGCACAGAATATGACTGCAGTACCTCTGAGTCTGGAGAAGAAGATTTTTTAAAATATTGGTTAATTTTCCATTTGGGGCCCCGCCCTGGCCCCAGTGGTTGGGGTAGGAATCCCAATTTTACAATTTTGTAGCCGCATCTACCGAGGATGATTCTGACCAAGCTTCAGGCACTGGTTCTTGAGAAAATGTCGAAAATGTAAAAATTCTACGCACGACGGACGGAAAGCGATCATTTTGTTAATGTCTGTTTATACGTTCTACCCTAGTAACGCCATATTGCGCTTTGGAAGCCAGGGGCTGTAATATCTCGCATAGATAGCTCATAACTTGCCGGGTTCCAATACACAACAAACTCACAAATGGCGGTACAAAATCTACTGTATTCGATCAACCTGGCATAGCATTATCACAATACACAATACGCTCGGGGAGTTCCGAATAGCTATAAGGTTTGACTAATGCCCGTAGGCGAGCGGACATAATATCTGGATTAGAGTCACTCGTTAACCAATATACTACAGGGGTCAAATATGTTGACATCTTTAAGATGTCTTCCGAATAACCAAAAGGCCTATGGTGATGATATTTGGCCAGAAGCATGCTGGCATAAAAAACTTCCAAGTTTGTTCAAATGAATGACCTTCACACAGATTCAATGTCACAGGGGTAAAATATGTTGAAATATTTTAATGACTTCTTCCGAATAACCAGAAGTCCTAAGGCGATGATATTCGGCCAGAAGTATGCTGGCATAAAAAACTTCCAAGTTTGTTCAAATGAATGACCTTCACACATATTCAATGTCACAGTGGTCAAATATGTGGAAGTCTTTTAATGACTTCTTATGAATAACCAAAAGTCCAGGGTGATGATATTTGGTCATTAACATACTGGGATGACGGACTATCAACTTTGGTCAATGAATGACCTTCACTCATATTCAAGGTCACAGGGGTTAATTGTCTTAAAAAAACAAAGGTCTAGGGTGTTGATATTTAGCCAGTAACATGTTTGAATGGAAGTCTACCGAGTGTGTTCAAATAAATCACCATCACACACATTCAAGGTCACAGAGAACAAATATGTTGGAATCTTTTTAACGCCTTCTTCTGAATAACCAAAGGTTCCAAGGTATTATCTAACCAGAATTTGACTGGTCATTTTTGTATAAATCTTTAAGTCATCTTCTCAATAAACACAGGGTACATGGTGGTGATATTTGGCAAGTTGCATTCTGGGATGAAGGGCTATATAGATTGTTCACCTTAATGTCCTTTTGTGACTTTCAAGGTCACAGGGGTAAAATGTTTTTAATCTTTCAACAGGTTCTTTTGAATAACTTTCAAGACACTGATATTTTGCCGGCAGCTTTCGTTTAGTCCACTTTTAAGGTTACAAGTGTGATATTTATACCAGGTGAGCGATGCAGGCCCATTGGGCCTCTTGTTAGGTTTTCAACATCAGGCCTGAACATAGTCATTACTCGCATGAATGCACCTCATTATATTACCTTTTCTGTTCAAACAACATAGCACTGTGTCTAGTAAGACCGGCAATCGATCGTGAGTTTTGATTTTTTTTTCAAGCTTTTTTTATTATTGATAAACTGTCTATACCATTAGGTACGTTTTACACAACAAAATCATTCATGCATGTCTATCAGTAAACATATCACAGTAGCAGGATTTATTTGGGAGAAAATCCGTGGGATAATTTCTAACGCCTTCGATTATATTTCGACAATGGCGAGATGAAGTAGAATGAAACAGACTAACAGCATCACCACATTAGTAGAATTCGAATACGTTCGGTCCTTTGCGACTAATGTGGAGGTGGCGCTACAGAATCGCGGGTGATTCCTTCTCGTCTTACATTAAGGGGACATTGAAGAAATAAAGATTAAACCTGCTGTATCCCATTGCATGTGTATCGTAAAAGGCGACTAATGTAGGGCCCCGTGTTAATCTGCTGTCCCTATTGCAACACATGGGATTTTTGTTTGTTTCCTATCTCTACTGTCTTCTTTCTTTTCTATCTACGTTCTGCTTCATGCGGTGTCTCCCTAGGTACCCGTCCTCCTATGACCCAATCTAACAAACACTTTTCGCTGGCTGTTACGTCCTCTTGAAAGGAAAGGTGGTCGTATGACGGTTTTCTTTATTGGTGACACGGTCATTTAAGGGCATGTCTCCAAAAGAGTATTGTATGCATCCGCGAGAGTATATATGAACAGAAGGCAATATATTGGTATTTATTTTTTAAAGTTGGCATCAGATCTGCGCTATTACAAGGACACCAACATACCCTGTCTCCGCCAGACATACACACTAGCACGCATACACACCACACATATAGGCACGTCCTTAATGACCTTAGCTGATAATAGGACGTTAAACAAAATAAAACCACAACCAAACCGCTACTTGGAATCCAACAAAATTCTTTCTTCATTACAGATTTGTTTGCGAAAGGAGCGCATCAGATCACCTAGTAAGACTTTTGTGATAGTTTTGAAAACGTAGCACATAATTGCTGGTATTTTTTTAACTTAAAAATGCGTGTTGATACCACATGGAAGTACGGTATAAGGAAATATCTTCATCAAGCCGGAATGGGGGAAATCTTCCTAATTTTATAGAAAACATAAGTTTAAATAGACACCAAAAAGGTCCGTGTAGGTACAAGTGTTTTCTCGACATGACCAAGCAGGAAATGGGTATACACCAAGGGAGTATACTTTAGGCAACATTTTCGGATTACAATCAATAGCACCTTTATAAATCTAAAACTGTATTCACTTCGGCCAACTCCAGAAACAACACGACCACCCATTATTGGGGTGGAAACCGTGACGTCCTACTGCGGCTATATCGTCCGGTGGTTTGATCAGAACTGGTTTTTTTTTTTTTTTTTTTTTAACTTAGAATTTTATTCAGATTTTTCAAACACATACGCATGACAAATAATGAGATACAAGTCTGTAAATTATGACAGGAAAAGCTGGATAATTGTACAGAACATTCATCTTACAGATTTCATACTACTCTACTCACTACATGTCATACATATAAACTTATTGCACAGCCTTTGCCTGACTGACATTCATCATTAAACCATACACCCATTTTGCCAGTACCCATTCGTACATACACAATACTTATGGCCATGCGATGTGATCAGAACTTGGTTACGGTTCAGAACAGGTTCGAAAAACCTATAAGTAGATGCTTGGTCCAATTCATTCTCAGGGCTGCGATTGGTTTACAGCGACAATACAGTAAAAAATCATTTTTGATAGAA